CTGAAATTTCCTTATCTGATACCCCATTGAATGACCCATGTGTGTGTTAGTGACTTCTTAAACTATTGTGTCTTCTATTCAAGTATTACTGGCGTAAGAATATCCTTTTATTTTTTACTGTTGGTACCTTAAGTGTTTAACTCTTGTCAATTTCCATGTCGATTAACGTTTTAAGGGATTTTCCTACCTGCGTTTCTAATTCTTTATTGCGACTTTAGGTAACTTATCGGTACGATGGTAATCGGAAGTCTTCTTCTTCAGCTTGAGGTGCTGGTGTCGGTTTAGGCAGTGGTGGTTGTGTGATCGCTGGTATGGCGGGCGGAATCCGCGTGAATTTGACCATGTCTTCCCGAGGATTGAAGATGATTGTTGGGGAGCTGAACTCTTTTCTTCGGTGGTCAGAGGACGTTTGGCGCTTGATGGAGCATAATTTGGTGACGCTAACGCTATCAGGATCACGATAATCAGCAGAGTGGAGGTGTCAATGAACCCGCTATCTATATGGATAGCGCTGCCCTGATATTCATCCATCTTGTATGGTTTGTAATTAGGTCGAGGGTATGTTGAAATGCATGTAAATCCATGGCCTTAGTGTTATTTGGCATGGGATTTAATTTTATTGTTTTTAGCAGGTTCGGCAGCTCAACTTCGTTGACCAGTTTGAGTGACAACAGTGAGAGATTCAAGTTCAGCGGCGTCACGTGAAGATCAGGGAGTCGGGACTCGCCAAAGCCAGTATTTTTTAATACGTTGGAGAATGTCTTTGCCTCCCAGTCGGGACTGAGGCGTAAAGTTCCTATTTTCTCCATGGTGGACGTATAGCTTAACGTCCCTCTACATACCACATTTAACGTAGTTGTTTCTGCCGTGTAAAATAGCCACGTGTGAGACTCCCGTAGTCTCGTCCATTGAGTTTTATGTACGCGTAGGATCTTAATGTCACAGGTCTTCATGGCGTCTATGGATGGATTCGTTAGGAGGTCAATTTCGCAGCAGCGTGAGTCATGTTGATTCTCAAGGGCATGAATAGGGCACAAGTGCGAGGTCTTCAGGGGCACGTATTGCTGATAATAGATCTGGTCCGCCGTGAAATAGTGTTGACGATCCAGTGCGACCAGTATGTACTCCATAGATGGTTGGATGAAGGCTGACCCAGTTTTTAATTTCTTTTCATGCTCTGGGGCATGCGGCAGGGAATGATCCGATACATTTTCATAATCGTTTTGTCCATCACTGGAACGGTGATTGCAGCGATAAATTTTCCTTGAGAGTGGAGCAGGTGTATAGTGGAAACTTTCGTGAGGAGGCCCAAGTCTGGGGTATCTGCATCGATCGGGAACTCTAAAGATGGTTCGTGTTTTCGGATATCCTTAATGGCATCTGATAGCTATTGACGCGTGAGCAGGTAGGGGCTGATTCGCCCGTGTTTAGGTTCTTCGTTGGCTTCTCAGACTTTCTTGAGGGTGTCGATGTAGTGTCTGGACCTTTTCAATCCTTTGATACCAATCTGCATGACCACGTACATATATTCCATTTTAATTAGTCCATCGGAGACGTACATGAGCTTTTGAGTGAGTTGTTCGGCATCTTCTTTCAGGAGACGGATGTTATTTTGCGTGTGGTTGAGATACTCTAGGTTGTCTTCGATTTCGGCTTGTAGGATATGCGTAGCATTGCTTACAATTTTCTCTAGTGCAGATGTATGTTCGTAAACCCTTTTGACCTGTTTCACTAGCCAGCGATGTTGGGTGTAGTCTGGTACTCCAACTATGGGGCCGAAAATTCTACTGAGGAACCCGCAGATCGGTTCACTGTCGCTCGTGGGGTTATCTTCGAAGTCACGGCGTCTCCTGGAGGTTCGTTCACTAGAGAGATTCTCTTGTAGTAGGTCTTGGATGTGATTCTGGAGTATTTTGGCTTCTTTCTCGAGATTCTTCTGTGCCACTATCTGAAGTCCTTGGGAACAGGCGATGCTTCCATGTTCTTGCATTGTTCTCGGAGGGTGCTGAATCTCTGCCAGCCCGTTGTATGGGATTCGACGACAGCTCGAACGTCGATAGCGACGCAAATGGTCCAAGATTTTGCAGCCATTTTGATGGTGTCCATGGCCTCGTACTAAATTCCTGGGTTGTGTATGAGAGGATGAATCTCGAAAGGAGATTCTTGTGCTTCCACGTAAATGACCAGTATTAAGGTAATCGTCAGGATTTTCAAGATTGAGTTCGTCGGGGTACTTGGGGTCGATTTGTACGATTTCCGCTATTGGCGACCCTTCCCTTCCTTGTGGATTTTTGAGCCGATTATCGCTAGACTATCGGCTTGTTCGTTTCCATAGAACCCTTGGTGTCCTGGGATGTGCTGGAAGGTGACGTCTGTCCCTTCCATATACTGGTCTAGTACCTCGAGTAACTCCCGATTTACTACGGGTTTGTTTTTCGGGTTTAATCATCCGTTTTGTTTCCATTTGCCCATATGTTGGGGTACGCAGTCAATAAGATATTGAGAGTCGGTTATTATTCTCAGCTTCGGTACATGTTTTTCTTTGCAAATTTTGACTCTACACGATCTAAGAACACAAATGAACGCGTTCCGCCAACAACACGGGTTGGATCCCGTGCCTACTAACGCTAATAACGATAAAGAAACACCATTGTGACTCTGCCTTCCTTCAGTGTTTTCGAGGTATTCCAGGGATGGTTATCACTAAACCAGATGCCTATTCCGGCAATGGCGTTAGCGCAACCGTTGTAGCTGCATGACCCATCCACGTAGACGTTCACTCGTCCACCTTGCGTGACTTCTAGGTCCGAGTGAGAGAAGGCATTGACTTTTTGCTCCATTAGTTACTTGGAGACAGAAGAGAAGATTTTTTTGTCGAACTTCTATGAGTTCTCGGTGTTAGTAATTATGTTTTGATGATTTAATATTAGGCTGGAAGAATGTCCTGATTAATCAGGGCAGCTTTCCAGCTTATTTGGGTGCTTCATGAATCTTGTACCCTCAAACGTCTCCATAATTACATCCTTTCTGATCGTTGTGTCTACAATTTGAAAAGGTCCGATCGATTGATGGTCGAATTTACCTGTCCGCGGTTCTTTTAGGACGTCCGCGAATTCTCCGGGCTTAAAATGTACCGGTTTAGCATCAGGATCATAATATTCTTTTGATTTTTCTTTGGCTGTAATTAAATTTTTCGCCGCCATTAATTGGATGTTATCTAAATGGGTTACTTGGTCGATCAGATAATCTTCGTATGAATCGATTTCGGGAAGTTCATGTATTGAGGGTACGCATGCTCTTTTTTCATATAGAAGTTCAAAAGGGGTGAAGTTTGTCGTGCTATGGACCGTGGTGTTATACGAGAACATCGCGAAGGGAAGAAGTTTATCCCAACTTCTATTTTCTTTAAAGAGGGTTTTCAGATACTCGACCAGGACGTGATGACTTCGTTTTAAATCTCCATTACTCTGTGGTCGGTATCCTAAAGTTGTTATATGCTCGACTCTCAGGATTCTTGCTAGGTGAGCGATGAGTTTGCTGGTGAAATTTGTTCCTCTCTCTGTAAGGATAACCTTAGGGCAGACAAAAATGGCTACGTAAAAGTCTAGCAGTGCAACGGCGACTTCAATGGCGGTGGCGTTTGGCATAGGGACGGCGGTACAGTGCTTTGAGAAGTTATCCTGAATGGTGAGGATGTAAATGTTTCCGGAGGGCGTCCTAGGGAGAGGTCCCACGATGTCTATTGACAGTTTTTCGAAGCAGCTTAGTAATTCTGATGGTTTTATTGAGGTGTATTGTGTTCGTTTCACGATTACCAGGAAGATATTGAACTTGCCCCTCTTTTGTACCAGGATTTGACCTAGTTTCGGTTCTGATTTTAGTAGAGTTTCTCGGTCTATGTAGCCCAGATCTTCTGAAAGTTTCCCAGTTCCGCTATTAGGGATGAGATCAACTGAGGTGAAATGAACTATATGAATTTTTTCCAAGGTCAGACCATCTCTACTGTACTTTAGATTTTCACTTTGCGGGACGACGACGTCTTTTAGTGGAATGGGGGCTTCAAACGTATCATAGAGCATTTTCTGGATCTGGGACTTTTCGTCAGGTATACCTGGGCTTCTAGGTTTTTGTTCCTGGGTCTCAGAGATCGTCGCTGAGGAGACTGGTGGTAGTTCTGGTAGGAATGAGGTTATTAGTGGCCCGCCCCCGTCGATGGCTTGGTCGGCGGTTGACTCGGCGGATTGGTTTGTTATCCCTATTGGTGTTTCTTTATCGTTATTAGCGTTAGTAGGCACGGGATCCAACCCGTGTTGTTGGCGGAACGCGTTCATTTGTGTTCTTAGATCGTGTAGAGGTCCTGAAAGTCTTTTAAGGCGTCGATGAGTGGATGCTGGAGTGCCTGTAAATGAGGACGTTCTATCTCCTGTGGGCACGAGTGTGTCGTCTAACGTAGTATCATTCTCTGGTGGGCTTGACCTGGCTAAGGGCTTTTCTTTCTGTTGAGGTGTCAATGCGAAGGAGACTCTTTTGTCGCTTTTCTGAGGTATAACCCAGTGCCGCATCTTCAAGATAGAGACTTCAGGTTGGGATGTCGTTTGGTTTAGAGGCCTATTTGGGGGGGTATGAAATTATGACACAATTACTTGATTAAACGTTATTTTAATTTATTTTAATGAGATTGAAAAATCTTTCGTGACTGGCTTGTAGCCATCTTGAAAGGGTACTAAAGTGCCTCTCGTGGCCTCGTCTACATCCCGGCCCCCTTGAAAGGTCATCTTTCAATGGATAGAATGAAAATACAGGTTTGTAGCAATAATGTAAATGTAAAGTGTTTAAACAAAACGTCATACTTCAGCGAATAGTAATCTAGCTTCACGTGACTCGAATAGTGACTACATCTACTTGAATTATTCAACTTGATTTTAAACGAAAAAAAAACTATTTTAAAGAGAATTAAGGTGATAAAACTTTTTCTCTTTCATTTAAATGTTTATAAACACTTAATCTTCGCCCACGTCCATTGGTAGGGGGCAGATCTTCTTCACAGTACGTTTGAAGTTCCCAGTTGAGGTCTTGACAGTTACGACCCTGACTAGACCATCAGCTCCAGGGTGGAGCTCAATAACACGACCCAAAGGCCAGTGAAGAGGTGATACGTTGTCTTCAATGAGCAAAACCAGAGTATTTAGCCCAATAGGTTCACTTGAATCAGTCCATTTCACCCTCTTCTTCAGTTCCTGGAGGTATTCCTTTTGCCAACGAGCCCACACTTGTTGTCATAATTTCTGACACAACTGCCAACGTGACAGGCGATTCTCTGGCATTTCAAGCAGGTTTCGACTCACAGGTTGTAATAATGAGTCACCAATCAAAAAATGTGCTGGATTAAGAACCTGAAGATCATCAGGGTGGTTAGTCAATGGAGTTAGCGGACGAGAGTTGAGGATCGCCTCTATTTCGGTCAACAGAGTGGAATATTCCTCATACGTCATAACTCGACCTTGAGTGACGGTGTTGAGATGTCTCTTCATGATTTTCACCGCCGCTTCCCACAAACCACCAAAATGTGGCGAGCGAGGAGGAATAAAACTCCAGCTGATGCGTTGCTTGGCAAGACGTTCAACAAGCTCTGTCTCATTGTTGGTGAGAAATTCAAAAATTTCACTTAACGCTCGAGATGTTCCAACGAAGTTGGTCCCATTGTCCGAGTACAACTGCGAGCACACTCCACGGTGCGCTGTAAATCGATTCAAAGCGGCGAGGTAGGCTTCAGTTGTGAGGTCACTCACCAATTCGAGGTGGACAGCCTTTGTGGCGAAACAAACGAATACAGCGATGTAACCCTTGGAGATATGAATGCGACCTCTGCGTCGACTTTCTCTCACCTGTATAGGGCCAGCATAATCAACACCACTAACAGTGAAGGGACGTTGATCTCCTCTTACCCTTTCCTTGGGTAGTTCTCCCATCATGATGCCAGGGATCCTCGGATTGAACCGAAAACACTTGAGGCAGTGTTTCACGACCTTCTGTGCTTCTTTACGCCCACTGAGGGGCCAAAATCGCTGTCGAACGGGATGCAGCAGTTGCTCTGGGGGACAGTGGTGCAGGCGTACATGCTCATCACGTATGATAATGTTGGTGATGTGATTTTTAGCTGGTAGTACCATCGGATGCTTCTGATTCTCTGACACACTGGCATATTTCAATCTCCCTCCTACTCATATCAAACCTTCACAGTCCAGAAAGGGGCTCAACGAACGTAATACACTTTTATCAGGAATTTCACGCTCTTCCTTTAGACAGTGCAACTCGATTGGAAATTCTTGGTGCTGTACCAACTTGATGATTGTTTTTTCAGCTTTATTCAGCTCTTCAACATTCAGTGGACTGGGTTCCTTCTGCTCGGTAAACGCAGATAGGAAGCGAAAGCAGTACGGAACAATTCTGCTCGTTTCGCTGAAAGATTCTGATGAACACCTTTGGAGTATTTTTGTCGGTAACATCGATGTCAAAGTGACCTCAGTAATTTTCACTTCAGGCAAATCTGTTACTGGGTTTTTCATCTCTGTAGGCCTCTTGTTCTCATCTTGAAGCCAATGAGGACCATTCCACCAAAGTTTAGACTCCTTCAAGTCCTCGGGGGAGACACCTCTAGATATTAAATCTGCTGGATTCTCATCAGTGGGCATATGTAATCAATTAATGTGCTCAGTCTGTTCCTGAATTTGGGCTACTCTATTCGCCACAAATGTCTTCAGAATGCTGGGTTTAGTTTTAACCCTTCCTAGCACGATAGTGCTATCACTCCAAAGAGTAACTTGACCAATTTTGTCATTAAACGTAGTCTTCATTGTTTGGTAAAGTTGAGTAAGCAGTAGAGCAGCTTCCAACTCCAGTCTTGGTACTGAAATGACCTTCAATGGTGCTACCTTTGACTTAGCACATAACAGGTGTGATTGTGGATTGCCTTGATGATCCGTAGTCACTGCATATAAGCAAGCTCCAAATGCTCGCTCAGAGGCATCACCAAATCCATGAAGATCAAATTTCTCTTCCCGATTGTGCAAATTTACATTTCGTGGAATCTGAATGTCGTTGATTGCTGGTAGGGACATGTAGTAGTCGTCCCACAGTGTTTGGATCTCCTCAGGGAGTGACTCATCCCAATCGATCTTATCTGACCATAATTTCTGCATCAGTATTTTTCCACTGACTAGTACTGGGCCTACTAGTCCCAATGGATCAAAAATCTGACATATTCTAGACAATACCTGACGTTTGGTATTAACAGAGTCTTGTGAGACCTGAACATGATAGTGTAAAATATCCTCAGGTGCGTTCCAGAAGAGTCCCAATGTCTTGAGTGCTTCCTCCTTGTCGATAGTAAATAACTCTTCAGTTTTATTATGCTCTTGGAGACCTCGTAGGATCTGTGGATCATTGGACCTCCACTTTCAAAGTGGAAACTGGCCAAGCATCAAGAGCTTGGATAACTGCTGTTGTAGCTGAATGGCGACCTCAGGGGTACTTGTACCAAAAGAAGTCTTCAGTTGTACAGCAGAAGTCTTCTTCAAGAACTCTGGATGCCAAGGGAAATTCTGCTTTATACAATGCTGCCAGTTCACGCAAGCATCGCATGGCATGATAAGGTGCGCATGCTGTCCCATAGGTCACAGTATTTAACTGATACACCTGGGCTTCATGATCAGGATCCTTTCTCCACAGGATGAGTTGCAGGTGTCTGTCATTTGGATGGACCAGTATTTGACGAAACATTTTGGAAATATCTGCGGTAATGACGAATTGATGTGCTCTGAACCGCAAAGTAATTTGAAAAATATCTCTCTGCAAGTTAGGTCCTGCCAAGAGTTTATCGTTGAGTGATGTGCCACTTGAAGTCTTCGCTGAAGCGTCAAAGACCACTCGGAGTTTTGTTGTCAAACTTTCTGGCCGTATAACAGCATGGTGTGGAATAAAATATTTTTGTTCTAATGCAAGTGAGTTAGAGTTCTCAGCCAGTGTCATGTGATCACGATCAAGGTAACCCTCCATGAATTCATGATAGGCAGAACGTAATTCAGGGTTTTTCTTAAACTTACGTTCCACAGACTCCAATCTGTTTTGAGCCTGCTGTCTGGAGTGCCCAAGAACGACTTCTGCTCTCGTGGGCAGGCGAACGATGAACCTCCCTGTAGAATTTCGTTGTACTGTTCTTGAGAAGAGCTCCTCACATGCCTTCTCTTCTTCTGTGTAATGGAGAATCTCTGGAATTGTTTCTTATTTCCAGAAACGTTCGAGTTACTGATGTAATTGGACATTTGTAACTTTGAGGCAGGTGGATGAGGGACTGGATTCTGGTTCTGTCATCTCTCCTCCTAGGATCCACCCAAACTGTGTATTTTGCAAGGCTGGTTGGCCTTCGATACGGTTACGTGGAGTGCCAATTAAAATTTTCCAATAAATGCCAGCTCCGATGAGTAAATCGATTTTTCCAGGCTCATGATACACTGGATCTGCTAAATATGTGTCTTTGGGTACAAGGACCGTTTTCACATCGATTTTCGTTTGGGGAATCTGCTCAGTGATTGATGGGATCACCAAACAGTCGATTAATGCCGAGAAGTCGCTATTTGTCGCTTGGATTTGAACTTGAGCTGCCATCCTGGCATTTGTCAGTGCCTGATTTATTCCACTGATCGGTTTGGTTTCTTTGGAAAGGCGTAAATTTAATTTACGGGCCAGTGCTGTTGTCATCAGGTTAGATTGTGATCCAGGGTACAATAGAGCACGACAAAGGATTTGTTTCCCAGTGCTGTCTCGAATGAGCACCTGTGCAGTGGAGAGAATGACTCGTGACTTCGGTTTTTGAACACAATACATGACTATTGGAGTGTCTGGGTTTGAAAACTCATTGCAATAATTTACACTTGAGGATGGCTGTGTGTGTTGCTTGTCGTCTCGATGAAGAAGTGTGTTGTGATGTTCATCACACACTTTGCATGTTTTGCGCCTGTAGTTGTCTGCAAAGTGTCCAGGAGTTAGACAATTAAGGCAAAGATTTTTTTTGATGATCTCTTTACGCCTATCGTCGACTGAGAGCTTCAGTAACTCTTCACAGAAGTTAACAGGGTGACTGCCATTGCAGAATTTACAGACGTATGATGATGTGCTTGCCAATGTGACTTTTTCTCCTGCTTTTTCTCCGATTTCTTCTCACTCTGCTGAGTTTGTTTTGGATTAGATTCTTTGGTTTTGTTCTGATTTATCATCTTGAGTGTTTGGCTGCGTGTGATCAAGAATTGTAAAAATTCTTCCAGAGTGGGCATCTGCTCATGGGTATGATCTTTAATGTGATCTTGCCAATCTCGTTGTTCACTGTAATCTAGTTATTTTTTTTGCTAGGTGAATGATGGGTGTGCCCCAGTGCTCTGTGGGTTGTTGAAATGTCTTTAAAGCACCCAGATGACTCTGGATATGCATAACCAGCTTCTTTATTGATTCTGACTTGTCTTCTTTGCTTATGGATGGAAAATTGAACAGCTCCTCAAGGTGAGTGTCAATAATAATTCGTTTGTTGTCGTAGGTCTGGACCAGCAGCCTCCAGGCCGTCTCATAACTGTTCTCGGTGATGTGTATATTTTGAACAACTTCGCGAGCCTCACCACTCAGTTGACCGATGAGATAATGATGTTTTTGAATAGCAGGAATGTTCGGATTATCGTGAATTATTGAACGAAATGAATTGTGAAAAAGTAGCCACTGGGTGTAATTACCACCGAAAATTGGGATTTTTATTTCAGGTAATTTGGGTTTATGTCTGTACTCAGTCTCCACTCGTTGAAAAGGCTGACCCTGGGGATGAATTGGAGCAGCCGCAGCGGCAGCAGCTCTCAGCCGATGCTCTAGGGCTTCTTTCTCTCTATTGAGAATATCCTGCATTGTTGCAGCCATGATGTAGTAACGATTCTCTCCAGCTTCGCGTTCCTTGNCATGTAGTAACGATTCTCTCCAGCTTCGCATTCCATGTTCTCATCCTCAATGAATGCTCGAGCTTCCGTTGCATCTTTAGGTGCTAGGCTTTCGATTTGTGATTGAATTTTCTCAAATGTGGTGAAATATTCTTCAAGTTTTTTTAACCTGACCTGAATGATTGCTGCTGATGCCGTGGGATGATCGTTGAGGTACCTTTCTGTTCTCGTAAAATGTGATTTGATGGTGCCTCGAGTGGCCTTCAGTTCTCGAAGGTCAGCCATGGCAATGTGTGATCACTAACACTACAACAAACTTATGGTTTTTGATTGAAGCTTCACGTTGTGACAGGAAAAAATGTTCTGTTTCGATGTTGTTTCTAAATTGCGGTTATAAATATACATGTGTAGTACGTATTGTAACTACATGCCTGCCTCACGTCGTTCGTCAGTTCGGCAGCTGTGCGTTGGGTGTAGCGTTCGAACACCGGCGTGCTCATTCACTGGGATGATTTGGAGTGTGAATGTATATCACTGTGATACGTTTGAGTGTGGTGGAGCGTCGTTCGCTCGGCGCGTTGAATGGATGTGTGTGTGAGTATCACTTCGATACTTTGGATGTATGGGCGCGTCTCCTCGAGACACGTACAAATGAACTGATTGAATTTCCACTCACTTAATTAATGAGTGATGTCGATTTTATGAATGTTTTGTTTTTATGTGTAGTTTATGATGAAAAACTGTTCAAACTGTCGCAGCGCGTTTTTGTACATTGTGCGTTTTTGTTTTCGGCCGGCGGGTTCCTCGATGCTCGTAGCGTTGTTTACACACGTTAACAAAACTGATGAATTTTGAAACTTGCACTATGTTTCACATGATTTCTCAGCCTCAGGTAGTCGTAGGGCGAACTGGTGGGCGCCAATCTTTGGGGGGGTATGAAATTATGACACAATTACTTGATTAAACGTTATTTTTATTTATTTTAGTGGGATTGAAAAATCTTTCGTGACTGCCTTGTAGCCATTTTGAAAGGGTATTAAAGCGCCTCTCGTGGCCTCGTCTACAAGGCCTTTGCTCCTCACTATCTTTTGCATCATTATCACTTTCGTTTTCAGTTTCTAGGTCTTCATCTTTATTCTCGTTATCTTCCTCAGCTTCTGGCTCTTCGTGTTCTTCATTTGTTACTTCTTTGGTGGGAAGTTGGTCTACCCATTCGGGGTCCTGTTCCCACGAATAACGCGAATCCATTTTGAGGTTTTCGTTCTCTTCAGGAGTGTATTCTGCTAGGAATTCCTTTAGGAATTGGTCGAACTTAAATATGCTTTCGCTTATACATCTTTTAACGTCGTCTGAGATGTATTTGACTGGTTCCTCTTGGAGTAGCTCACCAATAGCTTCCTTGTTGGTAAGGAGGGTCTCGTCGGTATTTGTTCCAGGTGATTGGTTTCTCCCGGGTTGTGAGGAATAGGGGGAAGATCGTTTTTCTGGTTCTTCGTCCACTGGGTTTTCTTTAGGTGGTAACTGTACTAATACTACGGGGTCGACGTCAGTGATTTTGGGAGAGTTTGTGATGGTTCTTTTTGGTGGAGTCGTTGATTCCGCTGGGGCGGTATCCATTGGGTCTGATGGTGTGAAGACGTCATCAACCAGTGTTTTTTGGTTGCGAACGCCTCGTTAGTTTCTTCACATTCTGTTAATTCAGGTTGTTCAATCGCCTTTGT